CCCCACAAACACCTCCTCCTAACCCCCCTTTGCCCATCCCCCTCCAAGCCTGCTTATTTTGTGTTTTCAAATGTTTCTGTTGTCTAGAAGAAACACTTGGTTTTAAACTACTCTTCTTTCCATCACTCAGCTCCTCTACTCCACCCCCACCTTTGTTTTCTCCCTGCTTCATGCTATCCTCCCTTTTTTCAATTCTCACCCATGCCTCTCATTTTCATTTAATCGTTTATTTGAATAGGGAGAATGCACATTAATGAACACTTAAGACAAATAATGCTTCAAGTGTAAATATGCCAGATTTGCGCTTCGAGCTAATTTCCATCCGTAGTCTCCTCTCCAATGGGATGAGAAAACACTTCTCAGTACATACTTTGCAGAATTCATCATTTTCAGAAAATATAAATCAAGAGGTATACAGAAAATATTTTTTAATTGAAACGATAAGCCAGTCGCAGATTGATAACCGAACACAGTATACACAGCAAACTAAATCTTCTTCAAAAGAAGAAACAAACACGTGTATTGTCAAACTGTTCGGAGCACTTCAAAGCAGAACAAGGGTGGGAATACAGAAAGAGTCATTTTAAATTATTATCATGAAGCAATCTTCTGCTAATAAGCAATAAACTGTCTCAGCTTCTCAAAATCTTCTCTAGGAGAAAGTAGTTTGTGCAGAATGCTAGATGGGAAGTTAACTATCTAATATAAAGATAACATTTTTGTTGCCCTGAATTACGCACTTAGGTTTGGCGTTCAATCAAAAGATACACAGGGATTATAAACAGGCAGAAAAATAAATCTACCTGAGAAAAACTTCTTCAGGGGAAATGAAGTCTTCCCACCTTTAGCATAACTGTGAGGAAGTTTTATATATACAACCGTATTTATTGAATTGAATATATTTGCAGGAAAAAGGCTGAAATTGCATTTTGAAATTGCAGGCCCTGGCAAATAAACCGTCATTAGAGGAATTCATATAAATACACTTAAATAGTTTGAATCTGCTTATAAGAACATGTAAATATCATGAAGACGTTGCCTTTTCAGCAGCTTTGTGTGTAACTTTTATGACAATGAAATATGGGAAATAAGTGAATCTATTGCAGGACCCTGATCAGGTCCAGCCCGATCCGTCCCCTCTGAGGGTCCACATTGAGGACCCGGACCTCCACCCGCATCCCAGGTCCAAGAGCCAGGCTGCGGCGGCGCTGACTTGCAGGCAGTTTGTCCAGTGTGATTTTGCTTTTGTGGATAAGACCCGAGCGGCCAACCCCGATATCTACAAAAGCCCCGAACAGAGTGGCGTTGTCCACCTGGCCCGTCAGCACTGCACCCACCCGCAGATCACTCATCGATACAATGCCCCGCTTAAAGACCGCCTTCCCAAAACCTGGGGATGGCAAAAAGAGATCAAAAAGACATTGTCAAAAAAGTGTGAGGGCTAAATGGAAGTGAAGAAGATGGATCTATGACAAAATCAGGTAAAGCTGGCAGATAGCACTAATGCTAGGGAGGGGATGCGGGAAAAGGGATGCAGGGAGTACAAGGACGGGGCGGGAGAGTGAAAGGACGGGGCGGGGGAGTGCAAGTACGGGGGCGGGGGAGTGAGGACAGGCGGGGAGTGCAGGACGGGCGGG